TAATTAAAAAAAAAAAGGTTGGAGTTTTTTTCTCATTATGCACTGCGTGCTGCAGGTTTTTTTTATATGGTGCACACTGACCACAAAGACCCATTCTCTCACATGTGGGCCTACCAGCTTTCTCCTGCTTGATTTGAAGCCGCTAGAAATTATGAGTATATATACGTCAAAAACGGTGGCTCGTGAGATGTATATATACGACCAAAACAGTCAAAGGGTTAAAAATAGGTTGGATAAATACATGAGTGGGTGTGAGTTGGACCTGACTAGCTTGGGCTACCAGGTCTGGTGCCGTGCTCCTTCCTTAAGTGGAGGTGACCTGACTAGGTGGTCATTGTTCTAGGCTGGGGGTGTGGCATGGACCTGCTTTGCATGGGTCAGTAGGCCTGTTGCAGTGTTCCTTCTTAATGTTCTTATGTTCTTGATCTACACATCCCCTACCCACTCTAAAACCTCCTTGCTCATCTGCAATCCTACATTCTGTCTTGCCTCTAATTCTTTCAATAATAACCCTACTGTACACTTTTCCTGGTATACTCAGTAAACTTAATCCTCTATAATTTTTACAGTCTCTTTTGTCCCCCTTCCCTCTATATAAAGGGACTATACATGCTTTCTGCCAATCCCTAGGTACCTTCCCCTCTTTCATACATTTATTAAACAAAAATACCAACCACTCCAACACTATCCCCCCTTGCTTTTAACATTTCTGTCATGATCCCATCAGTTCCAGCTGCTTTACCCCCCTTTCATTCTACATAATGCCTCGCGTACTTCCCTCACACTCGCATCCTGTTCTTCTTCACTCCTAAAAGATGGCATACCTCCCTGGCCAGTGCATGGAATTATTGCCTCCCTTTCTTCATCGACATTTAAAAGTTCCTCAAAATATTCTTGCCATCTACCCAATACCTCCACCTCCTTATCTACTAACTCCCCTACACTGTTTTTAACTGACAAATCCATTCGTTCCCTAGGCTTTTTTAAATTGTTTAACTCACTTCAAAAATTTTTCTTATTTTCATTAAAATTTCTTGACAGTGCCTCTACCACTCTATCATTTGTTCTCCTTTTGCACTCTCTCACCACTCTCTTCACCTTTCTTTTACTCTCCATATACTCTACTCTTCTTATAACACTTCTGCTTTGTAAAACCTCTCATAAGCTACCTTTTTCTCTTTTATCACACCCTTTATTTCATCATTCCACCAATCACTCCTCTTTCCTCCTGCACCCACTCTCCTAAAACCACAAACTTCTGCCCCACATTCTAATACTGCATTTTTAAAACTATTCCAACCCTCTTCAACCCCCCATTACCAGCCCACCTGTCTGCTAATAGTTGCTATATCTCACCCTAACTTCCTCTTCCCTTAGTTTATACACTTTCACCTCCCTCTTCTTGTTGTTGCGATTTTCCTCTTGTCCCATCTACCTCTTAGTCTAACTGTAGCTACAACTAAATAATGATCTGATATATCAGTTGCCCCTCTCTAAACATGTACATCCTGGAGCCTACCCATCAACCTTTTATCCACCTATACATAATCTAACAAACTACTTTCATTATGTGCTATATCATACCTTGTATATTTATTTATCTACTTTTTCATAAAATATACAGTGGAACCTCAAAAATCAAACTTAATCTGTTCCAGGAGCTAGTTCTAAATTCGAAAAGTCTGAAATTCAAAGCAATATTTCCCATAAGAAATAATGGAAATACAATTAATCTGTTCCAGAAACCCAAAAATATTCACACAAAAAATACATTTTTTAGAGATTAATTACGGTTTTACATACAACAAATACTATAGTTTTTAATTATGTATAGTAATACATATAAAATAACATTTTTTCTTACCTTTATTGAAGATTGGTGATGGCATCTGGAAGATTTTTTTTTTTATATTTTATTTAAAGCAATGCAAATACAAGGTGGTATAAATACACAGAACAGATTAATACACAAGAATCCAACACAGTGACACCTCAACCAGGTGATAGCATCTGGAAGATAGGGAGGAGGAGGGAGGGAGTTGGGGTTAGTGTTTGGAAGGAGAATCCTCCTCCATGAGGACTTCAGGTAAAGCCCTCTCTGGGGTTACTTCCCTTCTCTGTCTTTTAATGCCACTAGGACCAGCTTGAGAGTTACTGGACCCCTGTCTCACAAAATAACTGTCCACAGTCCTCTGTTTCTGGCACCTCTTTAACATTTCCCTAAAATGGGACATGGTTCTGTCACTGAACTTGTTGCAAAGATGGCTCGTTTCAGCTTGCTCAGGGTGGTACTTCTGCACAAACATTTGGACATCATTCCACTTGGCACAAATCTCCTTAATCTTTGAAGAAGGCACCTCATCCACTCCCTATATTAACACCTTTCGCAACATCAGCTTCCTTGATTTGTTCTTTCTTTGACAGGATAGAACTGATGGTCGACTTGTTTTTCCCATACATCCTGGCAAGCTCAACAAGTCTCACACCACTCTCATACTTCTGTATTATTCCCTTCTTCACATCTGTGGTGTTTCTCACTTTCTTTACCACAGGGGTACCACCAGCAAGTTTCTTTGGGTCCATGGTAGCTTATTTCACAGTCCCACAAGCACTAAACACAACGAAATAATCGTAAAATGCGTGAATGAGAGCGCAGGTTAGTGTTCACTCAAGCATAAACAAAGTTAGACTGCTCACGGCGCCTGCGCGGGGATGTGGACAGAGCGGGCGGCAGACAGGTCCTGCACCTGGCGGTCCGAAAATAGGGGTGCGTTCAATAATAGGGACACAGTTTGTCCGAAAAAATGGTCCTATTTTCGAAACGTTCGATATGTGATACGTTCGATTTTTGAGGTTCCACTGGATTTATTTATTTATTTATTTATTTATTTTTTTTTTTAACAAGTCGGTTGTCTCCCACCGAGGCAGGGTAACCCAAAAAAGAAAGAAAATCCCCAAAAAGAAAATACTTTCATCATCATTCAACACTTTCACCACACTCACACATTATCACTGTTTTTGCAGAGGTGCTCAGAATACAACAGTCTAGAAGCATACACATATAAAGATACACAACATATCCCTCCAAACTGCCAATATTTATTTATTTATTTTTAATTCTTCGACACTGAAAGCAAGTTTGTGAGCTGGGGTCTTGAGAGTGAAAGGGTTAATTAGGCAGTTTAACTGAAACTAGTATCTGAACTAGCAAGAAGTACAGTGGACCCCTGACTTATGATATTAATTCGTTCCAGAAGGCTGTTCGGGTGCCGTTACCGAATGAATTTGCTCCCATAAGGAATATTGTTAATTAGATTAGTCTGTTTCAGACCCCCAGAAATACACTTAAAAAAGCACTTACAAAAATGCACTTACATAATTGTTCGAGTTGGGAGCTGATCGTAAGTCGGGGGTCCACTGTATTTCTTTATACAGCTATGCTACTTGGTTCCACAGCCTTGCCAGCTTATACAATTTGCTAGTCCAACAAAGGTCACATAATAATTCTGACCCACTATTCATACACCTCCCTTGTTTTAAGGCACTATGGTTTATTTATTACTGTACTTAGGAAGAATGTTGCAGTATTGCCACCCCCAAAGTGGCAAATTTTGAAGTTTTTACTTGAACTGTAGAGATAATCTTTTAAAAATTTCATCCTAGCAAAGTTGTTTCAAATGCTTTGATCTTTCCCCGTGTAATTTTTCATGAGTCAATAAAGATTTATTAGATCTCATTCTTTCACAAAGTCATGGTGTTCTAACCCTTTGATTAATTCTTTAGGCAACTCACTTAACACTTCCATCTTTCTTAAGAGCCATAGCTAAGATATAAGGTCAGCAAAATAAGCTAAGAATCGCACAAAATGAAAGGATCACCATCAACTACAGTGTAAACAATATAAGTGAGTGCTTGCTGCACACAACACTATCTGTGGCCACTCAGTAAACTTGTCTGGTGCTCATAGGAAAATATAGTGCCCTTGTTATTTTGTCTAGACCATCATTTCTCTGAAAATTAGTGGTCTGCTTATGGTTATTTCAGATAATCATGGAATGGCTAAGTGAGAAATTACATTATCCCTCTCCTGTATGGTGGAATCCTTAAATATCATGGTTCTCTTTCATAGAAAAAGAAGTATGTATTAAAATTAAGAAGTGGCCCTTATATATAAAGGAATTTCATTGTGTTAATCTGAAAATAAAATGTTTCCCATTCTACAATCCTGAATAATTTTTGAACAAATTCATTCCATTCTCATTTCAGTGCACATCATTTTATATTTCATGTTATTATGTTCCTCCTTAATTTTTTTTTTAACCCTTAAACTGTCCAAACAAATTTACGTTCACATGTGTAGTGCTCCAAAAGTAGATCTACGTTTTTTTACATATTTTCAAATATAACAAAAAAAGTAGATCAAAGTTTTTTTTACACGTTTTCAAATGTAAAAAAAAAAAGAAAAGAAGATCTAGTTTTTTTTACATGCTTTCAAATGTTGAAAAAACGTAGATCTACGTTTGGACAGTTTAAGGGTTAAATATCACAGAGGCTGTGAGGTCAGTTACAGGGAACTCAGGTATTCAGTGAGCCTACTTTCACAAAATCAACTTTTTTCTTTTACAGATCTAGTTCATTACCTTTGTAACTTGCTCAGCTATCAAAACTTTGGAGTCCAGTCCCTGAACCAATTATGTACCTCTGTAATCTTTTGACTACCGCCCACAGGATGGGTATGGGGTGCATAATAAACATATTAAACTAACTAACTTGAATTACATGTTAGAAGTTTATAATTATTATCCTTTATATAAAGTAAAATAGAATTCATTCTAGCAAAATAAAAATTTGGTTCTTGAGGACTCAAATAATGTAATAAGTATAGCCTTTAAGCAGGATAACACCAGGCTCTTGTGGTTATTAATTTTTTTTTTTTTTTTTTTTTTTGCATGACAGTATTATGTTTTGATGTTTTTTTTTAATTATTATGTGCTTTAAAGGTTGCTGCTCATGTGAGCTGTTGTAATTATCCTGCTGGGCGAGAACTAACTACCCTCTGGAGACAGAATAAAGACTCGCTGTTGTCGTTCATACATGCTGCTCACCAAGGTAATAAAACCACACACATTCTCACTTTCACACACATTGAACCAGTACTATTTAATCATTTTTTATGCTGTTACCCTCTTTTTAATTTTTTTTAACACTGGGCATCTCCCACTGAGGTAGGTTGACCAGAAAATGTAACACTTTCACCATCATTCACATTATCACTGTCTTGTCAGAGGCATGCAGATACAACAGTTCAGATGTCCCAACAAAAAACAAATATCATACCCCTTCTTTAGAGTGCTGGCACTGTATTTCCCACCTCCAGTACTCAAGTCTGTCTAACTGGTATTATTACTATAGTAATAATAATACACTGATCTCTTGAGTTATAATATTAATCCATTCCAGTATACTTATTGTACCTCAAAACTATTGTAACCGAAGCCCCAGAATACATGGTTTCATGGTAATTCATTCCAAGATCCTAGAACTGCAACTTTTATTATATCTTAGACTTCAGTTGATAGTGTGGTGGTAAGACAGAGGGTGGAGAGGAGGTTACTGCTTGAAAGAAGCTCATCTAACCATTGCTTCTTGAAAAACTGTCCTGAGTTGTACGTTTCTGTTGTTTTCTTCTGAAGCTCTTAAAACAATGATTTTTTTTTTTATATATAACAAGTTGGCTGTCTCCCACCAAGGCAGGGTGACCCAAAAAGAAAGAAAATCCCCAAAAAGAAAATACTTTCATCATCATTCAACACTTTCACCTCACTCACACATAATCACTGTTTTTGCAGTGGCGCTAGGAATACAACAGTTTAGAAGCATATACATATAAAGATACACAACATATTCCTCCAAACTGCCAATATCCCAAACCCCTCCTCCCTCCTTTAAAGTGCAGGCATTGTACTTCCCATTTCCAGGACTCAAGTCCGGCTATATAAAAATAACCAGTTTCCCTGAATCCCTTCATTAAATATTACCCTGCTTACACTCCAACAGCTTGTCAGTTCCCAAATACCATTCGTCTCCATTCACTCCTATCTAACACGCTCATGCATGCTTGCTGGAAGTCCAAGCCCCTCGCCCACAAAACCTCCTTTACCCCCTCCCTCCAACCTTTTTGAGGACGACCCCTACCCCACCTTCCTTCCCCTACAGATTTATACACTCTTCGTGTTATTCTACTTTGATCCATTCTCTCTAAATGACCAAACCACCTCAACAACCCCTCTTCAGCCCTCTGATGCTTTTCTTAACTCCACACCTTCTCCTAATTTCCACACTCCGAATTTTCTGCATAATATTTACACCACACATTGCCCTTAGATAGAACATCTCCACTGCCTCCAACCACCTCCTCGCTGCAGCATTTACAACCCAAGCTTCACACCCATATAGGAGTGTTGGTACCACTATATTTTCATACATTCCCTTCTTTTCCTCTATAGAAACGTTTTTTTGTCTCCACATATACCTCAACGCACCACTCATCTTTTTTCCTTCATCAATTCTATGATTAACCTCATCCTTCATAAATCCATCCATGGACATGTCATCTCCCAGATATCTGAAAACATTCACTTCTTCCACACTCCTCCTCTCCAATTTGATATCCAATTTTTCTTTATCTAAATCATTTGATACCCTCATCACCTTACTCTTTTCTACGTTCGCTTTCAACTTTCTACCTTTACACACACATCCAAACTCGTCCACTGACCTTTGCAATTTTTCTTTAGAATCTCCCATAAGCACAGTATCATCAGCAAAAAACTGTGTCAATTCCCATTTTGTATTTGATTCCCCATAATTTAATCCCACAACTTTCCAGAACACCCTAGCATTTATTTCTTTTACAACCCCATCTATAAATGTATTAAACAACCATGATGATACTACACATCCCTGTCTAAGACCCATTTTTACTAGGAAGTAGGCTCCCTCTCTTCTACACACCCTAACCTGAGCCTCACTGTCCTCATAAAAACTCTTTACAGCATTTAGTAACTTACCTATTTCATATACTTACAACATCTGCCACATTGCTCCCCTATCCACTCTATCATATGCCTTTTCTAGATCCATAAATGCAATGAAAACTTCCCTACCTTTATCTAAATACTGTTCACATATATGCTTCAATGTAAACACTTGATCTACAAATCCCCTACCCACTCTAAAACCTCCTTGCTCATCCGCAGTCCTACATTCTGTCTTTCCTCTAATTCTTTCAATAATAACCCTACCATACACTTTTCCTGGTATACTCTGTAAAAATTATAGAGGAATTAGTTTACTGTCTCTTTTGTCCCCCTTCCCTTTATATAAAGGAACTATACGTGCTCTCTGCCAATCCCTAGGTGCCTTCCCCTCTTTCATACATTTATTAAACAAAAATACCAACCACTCTAACACTATACCCCCCCCCCCTGTTTTTAACATTTCTGTCATGATCCCATCAGTTCCAGCTGCTTTACCCCTCTTTCATTCTATGTAATGTCTCACGCACCTCCCCCACACTCTCATCCGGCTCTTCTTCACTCTTAAAAGATGGTATACCTCCCTGGCGAATGCATGAAATTACCGCCTCCCTTTCTTCGTTGACATTTAAAAGTTTCTCAAAATATTCCCGCCATCTACCCAATACCTCCATTTCCCCATCTACTAACTCCCCTACTCTGTTTTTAACTGACAAGTCCATTCATTCCCTAGGCTTTCTTAACTTGTTTATCTCACTCCAAAATTTTTTCTTATTTTCATTAAAAATTTTTGACAGTGCCTCTCCCACTCTATCATCTGCTCTCCTTTTGCACTCTCTCACCACTCTCTTCACCTTTCTTTTACTCTCCATATACTCTGCTCTTCTTATAACACTTCTGCTCTGTAAAAACCTCTCATAAGCTACCATTTTCTCTTTTATCACACTTTTTACTTCATCATTCCACCAATTATTCCTCTTTCCTCCTGAACCCACCCTCCTATAACCACAAACTTCTGCCCCACATTCTAATACTGAATTTTTAAAACTATTCCAACCCTCTTCAACCCCCCCCCTTCCCCTACTACTCATACAGTGGACCCCCGCATACCGATTTTAATCCGTGCAAGAGGGCTCATTGGTATGCGAAATAATCAGTATGCGAATGAATTTTCCCCATAAGAAATAATGGAAATCAAATTAATCCGTGCAAGACACCCAAAAGTATGAAAAAAAAAATTTTACCACATGAAATATACATTTTCCTACACACAAATAGAAGGATACATGCACAATAGTAGAGTAGTACATGCACAGTATATATTGTGCATGTACTACTCTACTAAATGAAGAATAAATGACACTTACCTTTATTGAAGATGCAGCAATGACTGATGAGACACTGTGTCCTGGGAGTGCCTTTTCCTCCTGAGTACTGTAGGTCCTGTTTGGCATTTTCTTCCAGAACAGGCCTTATCACACTGTGTATGTCACTACGATTCTTAAATCTCTCAAACCAACCTTTGCTGGCTTTAAATTCACCAATATGAGCACTAGTTCCAGGCATTTTTCCCTGTTCACCTGGGTGTTAGTCGACTGGTGTGGGTTGCATCCTGGGAGACAAGATTAAGGACCCCAATGGAAATAAGTTAGACAGTCTTCAATGACACTGACTTTTTTGGGTTATCCTGGGTGGAAAATCCTCTGGGGTTAATTGTTTCTTGGTATATTCTCAATAAGCCACACCAACAACAGTGCTACAGCAGCAGCAGACGATGCTACAGCAGCAGCAGACGATGCTACAGCAGCAGCAGCAGCAGACGATGCTACAGCAGCAGCAGACGATGCTACAGTAGCAGCAGACGATGCTACAGCAGCAGCAGCAGCTGACAGTGCTACAGCAGCAGCAGACGATGCTACAGCAGCAGCAGACGATGCTACAGCAGCAGCAGCAGCAGCTGACAGTGCAGCAGCAGCAGCAGCTGTACCACCAATAGTAGCGATGGTTGATTGGGGTTCATTATACAACCTGGCCAGCTCGGAGACACGCACTCCACTTTCATACTTATCAATGATCTTTTTCTTCATCTCTATAGTAATTCTCACCCTTATTGCTGTAGGGTTGGTACTAGAAGCTTTCTTGGGGCCCATGGTCACTTATTTTCCTGATAAAATCACCAAAAACATTGTAATAATACGAAATGTTACGATTGTATGCTTGGATGCTACCGCGGAGGCTGGCTGGTAAACAATGCCACCGGCGGAACATGTGAGGCTGGCTAAGGCGCACATTGGACGCGTCTCGGACTAACAGCGGTGAGCGGGTTTTTGAGCGGTATGCGAGGCAAAATTTTTGCGATTAAAGTGAGCGGTATGAGGAATAAACGGTATGTGATGCCAACGGTATGCGGGGGTCCACTGTACTTGCACTAGCCCACCTTTCTACCAATAATTGCTTGTATCTCACCCTAACTTCCTCCTCCCTTAGTTTATACACTTTCGCCTCTCTCTCACTTGTTGTTGCGATTTTCCTCTTGTCCCATCTACCTCTTACTCTAACTGTAGCTACAACTAAATAATGATCCGATATATCAGTTGCCTTTCTATAAACATGTACATCCTGGAGCCAACCCGTCAACCTTTTATCCACCAATACATAATCTAACAAACTACTTTCATTACGTGCTATATCATACCTTGTATATTTATTTATCCTCTTTTTCATAAAATATGTATTAATTACAAAACCTCTTTCTACACATAGCTCAGTTACAGGCTCCTCATTTTCATTTACCCCTGGCACCCCAAATTTACCTACTACTCCCTCCACAACATTTTTACCCACTTTAGTATTGAAATCCCCAACCACAAAAAAACATTATCTTCAAAAATTCAGGAAGTGTGTTAAATTTTTCATTGTCTGGGTGCTTTCTTGTGATTCTTTTCACACCTTTCCATTGTGTAAACAACAACTGAATTTCTGCAGCTATTATTCTGTGGTCATCTTCCTCCACTTTTTCCTCTCCACTGTCCTTCTCATTCATCTTCCATTCTTTGAGCTCCTCTGTTGTCAGTTACTGTCTGTGTTCCTGAATTAACTCCTCTACATCCTCGTCATCAACCTCCAGCCCATTTGCTTCATCAAAAGTGACAGACTCCTGGTGTACATCCTCCTCAGCCTCAAATCCTTGAAAGTCACGAGTGAGCAAAGGCCACGAGTGCTTCCAGGCGGCATTGAGACACCGAGTGGAAACTTCTTTCCAAAAATTCACCATAAGCTTCACACATTCTAAGATATTACAACTTAGTCTTTCAGAATTCCTTGAGCTCATGGCTCTGTCTCCAGAAGTCTCTGTAATGCACTTGGCAAACATCTTGGTAAACTTTCTGGAAATTTACAGTCACTTGCTGGTATATAGGCTGAATCAGGGGAGTGGTATTATATCTCAAATTTTTTATTGTAACTCAGAACTAAATTTCTCGAGGGTAAATTGTAGCACAAAATTATCATAAATCAGGGACCACTGTAGTAATAAAGTTATCCATGGAAGCAAAAAGGGAAGTGTATAAGAGTATAGTGGTACCCACTCTCTTATATGGGTGTGAAGAATGAATTGTGAATGTTGCAACAAGGAGGAGGAGGCTGTAGGCAATGGAGATGTCATGTCTAAGGGTAATGTGTGGAGATTAGGAGGAAGTGCAGGGTTACTAAAAATATAATCCAGAGGGCTGAGGAGGGGTTGTTGAGGTGTTATAGGCATTTAGAGAGGATGGGGCAAAATTGGATGACTTGGAGGGTGTATAAATCTGTAGTGGAGGGAAGGCAGGGTAAGGGTCACCCTAGGAAAAGTTGAAGGGAGGGTAAAGGAGGTTTTATGTAAAAGGGGCTTGGACATCCAGCAGGTGCATGTAAGCATCTTAGATAGGAGTGGAGTCAAATGATTTTTGGGTCTTTACAAGGTGTTGGAGTGTGAGCAAGGTAACATTTTGGAAAGAGATTCAGGAAAAACCAGTTAGCCAAACTTGAGTCTTTGAGGTGGGAAGTACAGTGCCTGCACTCTGAAGGAGATATGGGAATAATTGCAGTTTGGAGGGGCATCTGAACTGTAGTATCATCACGCTTCTGGCAAGACAGGGGTAGAATGAATAATGTTGAAAGTTTTTCTTCTTTTTCGGGTCACCCTACCTAGGTGAGAGATGGCTGGTGTATTAAAAATATGTATAATAATAGTGATAATATACAGTGCTGCTAGTTAGTGAAGTAGGCAATATGTCTTTTTTTTTTTTTTAATTATTATTTATTAAATACACCTCTAGGATTCAAGTATGGCTGACTGGTTTCCCTGAATCCCTTCATAAATGCTACTTTATTCACACTTGAGCAGCATGTCAATTCATAAAAATCACTTGCTGCCACTCCTCTTATATGGGTGTGAAGCATGGGTTGTAAATGCTGCAGTGAGGAGGCGGCTGGAGGCAGTGGAGATGTCGTGTCTAAGGGCAGTATGTGTGATGTAAATATTATGCAGAGAATTTGTAGTGTAGAAATTAGGAGGAGGTGTGGAGTTACTAAAAGTATTAGCCAGAGGGCTGAAGAGGGGCTGTTGAGGTGGTTTGGTCATTTAGAGAGAATGGAACAAAGTAGAATGACTTGGAGAGTGTATAAATCTGTAGGAGAAGGAAGGCAGGGTAGGGGTCATCCCTGAAAAGGTTGGAGGGAGGGGGTAAAGGAGGTTTTGTAAGTGAGGGGCTTGGACTTACAGCAAGTCAGCATGAGCATTTTAGATAGTGAATGGAGATGAATGGTTTTTGCGACTTGATGTGCTGTTGGAGTGTGAGCAGGGTAATATTTTGTGAAGGGATTCAGGGGAAACCAGTTAGCTGGACTTGAGTCCTGGAAATGGGAAGTACATTAGTACAATTCCTGCACTTTAAAGGAGTGGTTTGGGATATTGGCAGTTTAGAGGGATGTCTAAACTGTCTTGTCTGAGTGCCTCTTCAAAGACAATGATTATGTATGAGTGATGGTGAAAGTGTTGAATGATTCTGAAAGTTTTTACTTTCATTTGGGGTTTTTCTTTCTTTTTGGGTCATCCTGCCTTGGTGAGAAACGGCCGTGTTAAAAAAAAAAAAATGTACACCTTTAGAAAGCAAGAAAAACCTTGCAAAATTATAGAATTTTTTTATTTTTTATTATCACACTGGCCGATTCCCACCAAGGCAGGGTGGCCCGAAAAAGAAAAACTTTCACCATCATTCACTCCATCACTGTCTTGCCAGAAGGGTGCTTTACACTACAGTTTTTAAACTACAACATTAACACCCCTCCTTCAGAGTGCAGGCACTGTAACTTCCCATCTCCAGGGACTCAAGTCCGGCCTGCCGGTTTCCCTGAACCCCTTCATAAATGTTACTTTGCTCACACTCCAACAGCACGTCAAGTATTAAAAAAACCATTTGTCTCCATTCACTCCTATCAAACACGCTCATGCATACCTGCTGGAAGTCCAACCCCTCGCACACAAAACCTCCTTTACCCCCTCTCTCCAACCTTTCCAAAGGCCGACCCCTACCCCGCCTTCCTTCCACTACAGACTGATACACTCTTGAAGTCATTCTGTTTCGCTCCATTCTCTCTACATGTCCGAACCACCTCAACAACCCTTCCTCAGGCCCTCTGGACAACAGTTTTGGTAATCCCCGCACCTCCTCCTAACTTCCAAACTACGAATTCTCTGCATTATATTCACACCACCATTGCCCTCAGACATGACATCTCCACTGCCTCCAGCCTTCTCCTCGCTGCAAACATTCATCACCCATGCTTCACACCCATATAAGACGTTGGTAAAACTATACTCTCATACATTCCCCTCTTTGCCTCCAAGGACAAAGTTCTTTGTCTCCAAAACTCCTAAGTCACCACTCACTCTTTTTCCCTCATCAATCTATGATTCTCCTCATCTTTCTAGACCCACCGCTGACACTCCACTCCCAAATATCTGAATACATTCACCTCCTCCATATCTCCTCCCTCCAATCTGATATCAAATCTTTCATCACCTAATCTTTTTGTTATCCTCATAACCTTACTCTTTCCTGTATTCACCTTTAATTTTCTTCTTTTGCACACCCTACCAAATTCATCCACCAATCTCTGCAACTCTCTTCAGAATCTCCCAAGAGCCAGTGTCATCAGCAAAAAGAGCAGCTGTGACAACTCCCACTTTGGTGTGTGATTCTTTACTTTTAACTCCACACCTCTTGTCAAAAACCCTACGCATGTAACGTTCTTACAACCCCATCTATAAATAGTGAGGGGGAAACCACGGTTACATCGACACTGGTTGGCTACATTACTGGAATATTTTCCCTCTTTGTAATTTCTCACCTTGATGCCTCACTACCCGTAAAAATTCTTCACTGCTTTCAGGAAACCTCGCTGACTTATCACTTGCAACATCTGACACATTTGCCATCCCCTACTTCCACCATGTCATATGCCTTTTCAAATCCATAAAGCCATCAAAGACCTCTTTAGCCTATCTAAATATGTCACAATTATATGTTTTCATGTAAAGTTACTGGTCTAATCACCCTTCCATTTCCAGCCTTCCTTGTTCATTTGCTATCCTATTCCTCCGTCCTTAGGTGAAAAGAGTTAAAGGGAAAAAAATGGACACTAGAAAGAAAAACCTTGATTAGATCTGGGAAAGAATAATGACGAAGAGATTGTACGTAAGTACAATGCGTACCATAAGTTGTAGAAAAATCCTCCCATGGTAGTACTGTGCAGCACTTCCATGAGTTAGCTCACTTTTCCTGCTATAATATTGCTATTGTAAAATGTATTTTTGTTGATGTCTTCTTACATTAACAGGTGTGGCTGGGCAGGTGATAAATGAAGATGGTCAGCCAGTGCCATCAGCAAAGGTGTATGTGGATAGTAATGTGGTGGAACTGAAGGAAGAAGCTACGTTCAGGAAGTTACTACCCACTGGTGCTCACACCCTTAAGGTATGTGGATAGTAATGTGGTGGAACTGAAGGAAGAAGCTACCTTTAGGAAGTTACTACCCACTGGTGCTCACACCCTCAAAGTATGTGGATAGTAATGTGGTGGAACTGAAGGAAGAAGCCATATTTAACCCTTTCAGGGTCCGGACCCCTGATCTGAAACTTGTTCATGGGATGTCCAAGAATTTAAAAAAAAAAAATTATTTTTTCTTATGAAATAGTAGAGAATCTCTTTCCAAAGGTAATAAAACAAAAATTATGAAAATTTTTTGAAAATTGACAAAATTACGCTTAGCAAATTTTGCTGTGTCAGCGATATTAATGCATTAGTGATTTCGAGTCCTATTTTAGGCCAATAGCATTGTTCCAATCAACCAAATTATTAGCTATTTCACTAGTATGCCTTTTATTTTATTGATTGAGCACAAGAAACTGCCCAATCAACTATTTGAGCTACTTAATACAGTGATCAGAATCTGGTGATTTGACCAATTTCACACAAATTCAAAGTATTCCATTTTCAAAATAGGGTCACCATTACCACTTTATTTCATTCCTGTGTATATTCTATGTTATATTTCATTTTTATCCACACTGCTGCCAAAAAAGGGGTAATTATACCTTCAGATTGTAATTATACTTTGATATTTGCAGGTAATCTCCAATGACTTGGAAAACAAGACTCTGAACTTTGTTGTTGAAGCTCATAAAGAAACACCAGCAAGTGTTACAATGGATTCATTGAAAGACTCCAGTATTATGTACCATTCCTACTATGGAACAGAAGACAAGATTCGCAAACTCAGTTCTAACTACTCCAAAATATCATATCTTTACAGGTAGAGTTTTTTTTTTTTTTTTTTTTTGTGACATGGCTGTTTCCCACCGAGTCAGGGTGAGATTCAAAAAGAAAGAAAAGCCCAAAAAGAAAGAAAAAACTTTCATCATCATTCAACACTTTCACCATCATTCATACTTAATCACTGTCCTTGCAGAGGTGTTCAGATATGACAACTTAGACATCCCTTCACACTGCAATATCCCCAACCCCTCCTTTAATGTGCAAGCATTGTAGTTCCCATTTCCAGGACTCAAGTCTGGCTAACCGGTTTCCCTGAATCCCTTCACAAAATATTACCCTGCTCACATTCCAACAGCTCGTCAGGTCCCAAAAACCATTCGTCTCCATTCACTCCTATATAACATGTTCACGCATGCTTGCTGGAAGTCCAAGCCCCTTGCCCACCAAACTTCCTTTACATGCTTACATGTAGTTGCAGAGGTCGAATCCTAGCTCCTGGCCCCACCTCTCAACTTGCTGCTTTCCAGATTCCATTTCTCCTAGCCTCAGGGCCCTATCATACCTATTTTTACAACTATGTATTGAATCTGCCTCTACCTCTTTGTTGAGGTTATTCCACTTTCTGACCACCCTGAGGCTGAAGAAATACTTCCTGAAATCCCTGTGACTCATGTGTGTCTTTAATTTTCAACTGTGCCCTCAAATACCTGTTTTCTGCCTCTCAGACACCCTGTCCCTGTCTGCTTTATCAATTCATGAATAATTTGTATCTTACATGTTTTCCTTAGGCCTGTTCTCTTAGGTCATTAGGTTCAATTCCTTTTACCTCATTTCCTCATTCCTTTGTAGCTCATACCCCTTAGTTTTGGAACTAATCTTGCTGCATACTTCTTTAGCTTCTTAACGTTTTTCCATTGATGTGGGTTCTATACTTCTGCTATGTAATCCAAGATGGGTCTGACATATGTTTGTAAGGCACCTGAAATGACTCTTTGTTGAGCGTTGATGAGTCTTGAGCCTTTTACATATACACAGTACACAATATGGTGTTGCAGTATGTGCACTTTTCCCTGTTACTAATAAGAGGGAGTTAGGCATACCATAACCCATTCCAGGGTCAGAATGCCAGTGAAACTCTCCTCTCATTTCTTCTTCTCCCATCTGCAATAATGCCATTCCATTATTCTTTCTCCCTTTTATAATAATTTTGAATTTATTTTTTAATTTTTTTATAGCTGAATGGATTTGTGCTTTACAGCTCAGATAAGATTAGCATACTATTGGTAAATAAATTTTTATTTTCCTTTTACAGCATAGGACGCAGTGCCCAGAGTCGACAGATTATGGCTTTAGAAATTGATGTAACTCAGGGAACAGAACCTCAAGGAATAGAGCAGTCAAATTTACCATCAGTTGCTGTGATTGGAGGTCTTGGCAAAAGTGACAGAGGTGGCAAAGAATTAGTTCTTGAACTAGCTAAGTAAGTATAGAAAATTATTATTGGATAGTACGGAGATTCCCACAAGTGCACCTCCAGTTTGGGTTTTTATTCTGCAGTCTCAAAAATGTAATCAAATATTCATACAGCACATTACATTACAAGTACAGAAAATAATTAGAAGGGAAAGGTAGACAGAATTATGGGAAGGAAATAGAGCCATATATTTTTAATAAGTTAATAGAACAGGCAAAATTAGTATGGTAGAATAGGTTATCTTGGAGGCTTTTTTTTTTTCTGGAGTTAAAAAAATACTTGAAAGATGTAGAATATTTAGTACTGAATTATTACATATTGCATACTTTTTAGTATAAGTAAGTTTTGGTTTTCACTGCCTTGGATGGAAGCATTGGTATCCAGTACTGTATCATCCTGCAACTTGTTTCTTATAATTATAGAGTATAATGGTGTAATTAATACTGTTTTATTGTTGGTTACTTTGTTTTTTTCAGATATTTGCTCTCACGTTATGGTCATGATGCAGCAGTCAATAAAATCTTAAAAAATACTAAGGTTCATTTGGTACCAACGTTGAATCCAGATAGCACTGCAGACATTTCAGAATCTTCAAAGCAAGACAAAGGAACAGAATGTGATATGAAAATAAATACCAAAAATTCCAATGGCATAGAACTAGACACACATTTCATTGTGAAAGGTAAGTTGAAGGGCAGTAGGTTACCATAAATAATAATCTTTCTGTATTAGGTTGAATAGTGCAAAACATCTAAAAAAAAAAAAAAAATTCTCTCCTGAAATATTTTGATTACTAGAATAATTCTGTGCCTATACCTGAATAATGAATGGAGATGCTGTGGTGCGGAGTCATTGGAATTGTGAGGTTTGCATTTTAAGAAAAACAGCTAGAGCATGAATGATGGCGAATGTTTCCTTCTTTGGGAATTGACAGATTTGTTAAGAAAGTCTCATAATTATCTTAACATTAAAAATGAAAAAAAATGCTCTCTGAGATTTTATGGAGGAAGAGGATTTATATATATTTTTCCTCTCCCCCAAGATCTCGTTTATCTTTGGAAGAAAGAAGGGAACTTTGTATTTGTGACTGTTTATGTTAAGGTTAGCAGTCAAAGAATAAATCAAGAAAAACTTGTAAATTATTAATTATTAATTCATTTTTCTTCAATAATTGGCATTCTTGTTGCTTTGAAACCTTTTTAGGTTTTAAATACTATTTTAATAATCACATATTCAGGATCAAAACATAATGATATTTTCTAGGTATGGAAGTGGAAGATTCTTCTCCACCTGAGGTGTCTGCAGTACGCAAGTGGATGACTGATCACAAGTTCACTTTGGCTCTTATACTGAGGGGAGGTGCTCAGGGAGTTGCTGTCCCATATTCTGCTCTTCATGAAACATTCCTTTCTCCTGATGCTCAGGTATATATCCTTTATATCACAGTTATTTTCATATAGTCGGACTTGAGTCCTGGAAATGGGAAGTACAATGCCTGCACTTTAAAGGAGGGGTTTGGGATATTGGCAGTTTGGAGGGATATGTTGTGTATCTTTATATGTTTATGCTTCTAGACTGTTGTATTCTGAGCACCTCTGCAAAAACAGTGATAATGTGCGAGTGTGGTGAAAGTGTTGAATGATGATGAAAGTATTTTCTTTTTGGGGATTTTCTTTCTTTTTTGGGTCACCCTGCCTCGGTGGGAGACGGCCGACTTGTTGAAAAAAAAAAAAAAAAAAAAAATCACAGTTATAAATGGGAAACATCATAGATATGACAGGTGGCAAAATATCTATTGAGTGAATGATAGTGATTTTTTTTTTTCCAATGAACCAGCCATATACGTCCTTCAAATCAGTGTTCCTTGGTGTGAAGCTGCCAGTGTGGTAAACAATGCTGCTGTTGGCCACGGGACCAATTTCATTCAGAATTCATTGAGTTTAGTCCCAGTAAAGAAATTAAGGGAGACCAAAAAATTATGCTTTGGGCTTGAGTTTCCCAACTACTGAAGCAATGCAGGAGACTGGATTTTCCACAGCTTTGTTTTCCAGCTGATCTTGGTTTCATGGCCTCTGGACCAACCATGATGCTGCCCAAGATAACTGTGGTTGGTCTTTTGCATTTTTGTTCAGATGATGAAATTGTTGATGGTATTGCCAAGAACTTTCAATATTGTCAGGTTCCTCAAAACCCATGAAGGAAGAATTATTGAACATTCAATCAATAAGAAGTAAAATCATGCATGTTAATGAAGTTTTAAATGAGCTTTCTCTTGATAATTTGTGTGACAAAAAACATGTTGGAGTCTGGTACAGCAGAGGCTGCAGCTGCTCTCCAAGGTCCTTTTTTTTTTTATTTATATTCCCAGGTCAGTTGTTGCACAGAGTGGTGTAGTTGCAGTCCATTGTTGCACAGAGTGGTGTAGTTGCAGTCAGTTGTTGCACAGTGGTGTAGTGCAGTCAGTTGTTGCACAGTGGTGTAGTTGCAGTCAGTTGTTGCACAGAGTGGTGTAGCTGTAGTCAGTTGTTGCACAGAGTGGTGTAGTTGCAGTCAGTTGTTGCAGAGTGGTGTAGTTGCAGTCAGTTGTTGCACAGTGGTGTAGTTGCAGTCAGTTGTTGCAGAGTGGTGTAGTTGCAGTCAGTTGTTGCACAGTGGTGTAGTTACAGTCAGTTGTTGCACAGAGTGGTGTAGCTGTAGTCAGTTGTTGCACAGAGTGGTGTAGTTGCAGTCAGTTGTTGCACAGTGGTGTAGTTGCAGTCAGTTGTTGCACAGTGGTGTAGTTGCAGTCAGTTGTTGCACAGTGGTGTAGTTGCAGTCAGTTGTTGCACAGTGGTGTAGTTACAGTCAGTTGTTGCACAGAGTGGTGTAGTTACAGTCAGTTGTTGCACAGAGTGGTGTAGCTGTAGTCAGTTGTTGCACAGACTAACTGTTACTTTCAGTCAGTTATTCTTCATTTCTGCCAAATGTTCATCATATACCAGTTGGTCAGCCATTTGAGTCATATGAGATTTTGAAAGGAGCAGTAAAGTGTCTTCAACAGTTTGAGACTGATAATTGTGTATCGTCATGGCACTGATGACACATTCCTTATTTCTTGATGAATTTAGTTTTCTTATTGACTCTTTTGCAAAGAAGAGTGATAATCTTGTGTGGTGGCTACCTACTGAATTGATTGTTCTCAACACAAACATATTCATGTGAGTTTTTAGAACTAATAGATCTGAATAATTTAAAAAAAAATGTGTTATAACCCACCCACATCATGGCATATATTGTGTTATTTTTTTTCTGTCTAGTGCTAATTTTCACTGTCAAAAGCCCAAAAAATCAAAAGTGCTCAGTTTTGGCATTTAAAAAAAAAAATTCTCCGAAATGATAGAGAAACTTTTTCTGAAGATAGACACCAAAAATACAAAATTTGATGGAAAAACTTACGGAATTATGCAGGTGCAAAGTTAGTGGTCTGGGCATAATTTACACATTGGCAATTTCGCCCACTTTGAGTCCTATTTTAAGCCAATTCCATTGCTCATTTCAACCAAATTCTTGGCTGTTTTGCTTTCATTGTATTGACTGAACACAAGAAACTTCCCAACTATCAGAACTATCTTATAAAGTTTATAAAAGTCAATAGTTTAGACAGTTTTACACAAAATTAAAAAAAATCCTGGACTGTAGACAGTCCAGTCACTAAATCAGTATTTTCTCTGTTTTATAAATCACGTCCTCAGGCTTCTCTTATGTTGCACTTGCCCTCCATTTTTTAATTTATCGCACCAAAAAATTGAAGATTTATCCTATTTCTTGGATAATAAATAACCAGGAATGATTGATCATTGCTTAGAGCATCCCAATAATTAAATCAGACTTGGTAAAAACCCATAAAACAGACTGTGGAGGGAGGGGAAGGCATAGGAGGGGCCTTACCCATCCTTGGGAAAATCATCAAAAATCTATTTCCATTATTTTGAGCCTGATTTCAAGCTACTTTCAGTCCTGAAAGCAACTAATATCTCTGTTTCAGCAACATATTTTCCATTCTGTCATAAAGTAACAAGAAACATATGCATATACATGCATTTGTTTTTTCTCTAATTGTTATTTGCAATTGTTTGCTTGCTGAATTTGCCTAACTGCTACGTCCCTACTTGTACGAGTTGCACTGGCTCCTTACCAAGGCAAGAGTTGAATTTAACCCTTTGAGTTGCTGTCATGTAACTACATCATTGAGGCCAGGGTCCCTGGCATAGCTCTACTTCATGAGCTCATCTCACTCAGATTTTCTGTGAGTGGTAAATTTTGGCCTAGATATGAACGTATTCAGATATTTGGGAGTGGACGTGTCAGCGGATGGGTCTATGAAAGATGAGGTGAATCATAGAATTGATGAGGGAAAAAGAGTGAGTGGTGCACTTAGGAGTCTGTGGAGACAAAGAACTTTGTCCTTGGAGGCAAAGAGGGGAATGTATGAGAGTATAGTTTTACCAACGCTCTTATATGGGTGTGAAGCGTGGGTGTGATGTTTGCAGCGAGGAGAAGGCTGGAGGCAGTGGAGATGTCATGTCTGAGGGCAATGTGTGGTGTGAATATAATGCAGAGAATTCGTAGTTTGGAAGTTAGGAGGAGGTGCGGGATTACCAAAACTGTTGTCCAAGGGCTGAGGAAGGGTTGTTGAGGTGGTTCGGACATGTAGAGAGAATGGAGCGAAACAGAATGACTTCAAGATGTTTCAGTATGTAGTGGAAGGAAGGCGGGGTTAGGGGTTCGGCCTAGGAAGGGTTGGAGGGAGGGGTAAAGGAGGTTTTGTGTGCGAGGGGCTTGGACTTCCAGCAGCATGCGTGAGCGTGTTTGAAGGAGGAATGGGACAAATGGTTTTTAATACTTGACGTGCTGTTGGAGTGTGAGCAAAGTAACATTTATGAAGGGATTCAGGGAAACCGGCAGGCCGGACTTGAGTCCTGGAGATGGGAAGTACAGTGCCTGCACTCTGAAGGAGGGGTGTTAATGTTGCAGTTTAAAAGCTGTAGTGTAAAGCACCCTTCTGGCAAGACAGTGATGGAGCGAATGATGGTGAAAGTTTTTCTTTTTCGGGCCACCCTGCCTTGGTGGGAATCGGCCAGTGTGATAATAAAAAAAAAAAAAAAAAAAAAAAAAAATGAAAGAATAGTCCTGTGTGGTGAGTATGCACATTTTAAAATAAATCCTGCCTCTCTCAGTGCAGGATGGGAAAAGCAAGACTGTAAACTTGTCTTTGGTTTAACCCTTTGACTGTTTTGGTCGTATATATACGTCTTATGTGCCACTGTTTCGGATGTATTAATACGCGTAAATTCTAGCGGCTTCAAATCAAGCAGGAGAAAGCTGGTAGGCCCACATGTGAGAGAATGGGTCTGTGTGGTCAGTGAGAACCACAAAAGAAATCCTGCAGCACACAGTGCATAATAAAAAAAAACTGACCGTTTTTTTTTGGATTAAAACACCGACTTTGAGGTGTATTTTCGTATAATATTTATCATTGTATTCTCGTTTTCATGGTCTCACGTGATAAAATGGAAAACATATTACAGAAATAAAGATGATTTTGATTAGTTTCACGATGAAAACGACCTTGAAATTGAGCTCAAAATAGTGGAAATGTTCGACTTTTACCAATGTTCAGGAGTAAGCAAATCACAACATTCAATACACGTCAACTGGGGAGTCTAATATTCTTTCACTAGTGCACTGATATTATTTATACCATTTTTACAATAATGCATTAGTCTGCATAACAGTTAATTTTGTATTTTTTGTATGAATAAAAAATCAAAATAGAAAGCAATAGTAATATAAGAGGGGCCTAGAGACATGACTAATGAACAGAGGATATGTTATTGTAGTGCCAAGAATGTCTACATTGTTTATTCTGGACCCTATTTTGAAATTGGCATCTTTTTTAATTTGTGTGAAATTGGCCAAATTGCCAACTTCTGACCACTTTATTGGGTAGCTCAAATCGATAAATGGACAGTTTCTTGTACTCAACTGATAGAAAAAATGGAGTTCTAAAGAAATAGCTATGAGTTTGGTCAACTGGAACAACGGAATTGGCCAAAAACAGGGCTCATCCTCGATGAAATCGCCAATGCGTATCTGTCGCTGAGACCGCTAACTTCGTGGGAGCATAATTCTGAGAGTTTGAGACCAAATTTCTTACTTTTGGTGTTATTACCATCGGGAAAAGATTCTCTATCATTTCATAAGAATTTTTTTTTTCCCCAAAAATTTTGCGACATAGAATGACAGTTTCAGAAAGGGGCTTGCGACAGTCAAAGGGTTAAAATAGGTACCGTGAGGTATTGTCTAGGATGGTTTTTATGGTTTTATTTGTTGTTTTTTGATATCGTTTGATAGAATGGAACACATACGACTGGGATAGAGAAAATTTTGGTTGATTTCAGGACTGGATGTACATAGCTTGAAATTGGGTTAAAAATGGAAATATTCTACTTTTGCCAATTTTCCTGAGGGCGGATGTCTTTTCTAGAGTGTATGATCTTGATAATCATACTGTTGAAGGGCTCGGACTTCCAGCATGCATGCATGAGGGTGTTAGATAGGAGTAAGTGGTGACAAATGGTTTATATGACTTGACATGCTGTTGGAGTGTGACCAAGGTAATATTTGTAAAGGGATTCAGGAAAACCGTTTAGCCAGACCTGAGTCCTGAAGGTGGGAAGTACAGTGCCTGTGCTTTGAAGGTGGGGTGTTGATATTGCAATTTTATAACTGTCATGTAGGCGTGCTTCTGGCAAGAGTGAATGATGATGAAAGTGTTTCTTCTTTTTCGGGTCACCCTGCCTTTGTGGGCTGATGTGTTAATAAAAAAAACTGTGGTCTTTCTCTCTCCTTATGTCTGAGTCTTACCTAGCTAATCTTATGCTTGACTTTAGTGAGTGTTACTTGCAATGGATTGTTTTCATCTTTCTTGTATTGTTAGATTCTTCTATAGTGTATCCAGCCTTTTTCTCTTTACTGTTGAAATTGTCTGAACATTTTATTATTATGCAAATTTATCATTCATTCTTGTTTTTGAATATGTATGTGAGCATACTGCTAAAGATAAAGATTGTTAATGTTTTATTTTTGACAGATATTTCATAAACTTGGAGCCACATATTCAGCTGCTGCAGGATTACCTCAGGACATGTCTGCATGTGGGAATATAAAGTTAGTTAACGGCACAACCTACGATGGAGTGATAAACCCACATTCTGGAAGTCTCCTTGTGAGTTGCAATGAAACTATGTTTTGGTAACCCTATATAATATACATAATACACAATACAGTAGGGCCCCACTTATACAGCGGGTTAGGTTCCAGGCTGTCACCGGAAAGCAGACATCGCCGGAAGGCAGAAAACCATTTTTTCCATTTATAAATGTATATAAATGCCAGACAACAAGTTTACACTGAATTATATTAAGTTAATCATAGAACTAGGCATTAAAAACACACAAAGTAAAATACATTCACAGTACACTCATTACTTGTCTTAAAGTATTTGTAATCTTAATGTAGGGAGAGAGGTGAGTAGTACTTATTTGTAGGAAGTCGGGTGTAGGTAGCCTTGGCTCCCCATTCGCTCCCCCCGTTCGCTTCGCCGCAGCGCTTACCGAACATGAGATTTAACGTTTATTTTGCATCGCTTTAAATCAAAAAAAACGTAGAACTTACGTTCTGAGCGCTGCGCAGTGAACATGGATCTGCGTTTGGACAGTTTAAAGAGTAATAAGCTATTTTATAAATATTTTCATTTTGTTATTGTTGATTTTACAATCCATTTCACTGTGCTAAAAATTATTTAATGGATTAATATTTACAACAGTAATTAGGCATACAAAATTTAATAGTAAAATTTTGAACAGTGACATGATATTTAGATCAGTGATGCTACTGTATACTTAAATATGGCTGCTTGGGATTTTTTTTTCAACTGTTTTTTTTTCAAATATTTTGTAAATATTTTGTGCACTGACTCTATTGCAGTGATACACCGCAAAGTAGGTAGAGGTTGGTCACAGCAACCACCCATGGAAGTCTACTGTCCTGCCAGATGACTGGAAACAAAAACCTTTACTGTTTTGCATGATGTTGTATTGCTGTTTCTTTTTCTGTCCTCATAAACACGCTTAAGATAACAGGGATATCTTGCTACTCCTACTTATCACATAGGTCACACTTCACAGACACGCACATGAATATATATAAATACATACATCTAGGTTTTTTTCTCCTTTTTTCTAATAGCTCTTAGTATCTTTTTTATTTCTTCTATTGTCCATGGGAAGTGAAAGAATCTTTCCTCCGTAAGCCAGCTGTCGTATGAGGCGACTAAAATGCCGGGAGCAATGGCTAGTAACCCCTTCTCCCTGTATACAATTACAAAAAAAGAGAAAAGAAAAAACTTATAAAACTGGTTTTGCTTAATGTGCGTGGATAGTGCGGTATGAGACAAGAAACAGATATTGCTGTGTTATGAATGAAAAGTATTGGATGTCCTGGCCCTAAGCGAAACAAGCTGAAGGGGTAGGAGAGTTTCAGTGGGGGGGAAATATATGGTATTAAATCTGGATTTATCAGAGAGAGTTAGAGCAAAGGAAGGGTAGCAGTAATGTTAAATGATCAGTTATGGAAGGAGAAAAGAGAATATGAATGTGTAAATTCAAGAATTAATGTGGATTAAAGTAAAGGTTGATGCGAGAAAGTGGGTCATAATAATTGTATTCACTGGAGAAGAGAGGAATGCAGAGGAGAAGAGAGATTTTGGGAGATGTTAAGTGAATGTATCGACCTTGAACCAAGTGAGAGAGTAATTGTGGTAGGGGACTTTAATGCTAAAGTAGGAGAAACGTTTAGAGAGGGTGTGGTAGTAAGTTTTTGGGGTGCCAGTGTAAATGATCTGTGAGCCCTGTTTGATTGAACTTTGGTAGAGAAAGGGTTTAGTTATAGTTTAACATATTATAAGAAAAAGAAGATAAATAAGATACACGATATGATGTAGGCGATAATGACGTAGTTTTTGGATTATGTATTGGTAGATAAAAGACTGTAAGTAGACTTCAGGATGTAAACATGTTTTTAAAGAGGGTCCACAGATATATCAGATCACTATCTAGTTGTAGCTACACTGAGAGTAAAAGGTTAGATGGGATACAAGGAAATAGAAGCATCAGGGGAAGTAGATGTGAAGTTATAAACTAAAAGAGGAGGCAGTTAGGGTAAATATAAACAGCTATTGGAGGATAGATGGGCTAATAGAGCATAGGGCAAAGGTCAAGAGGTATGGGGTAGGTTTAAAAATGTAGTGTTATAGGTGTTTCAGCAGAAAGTTTGTGTTACGGAAAGTGGGTGCAGGATGGAAGAGGAGCGATTGAGTGAATGATGATGGTAAAGAGAGTATAAGGGAAAAAAGTTTAGCATATGAAGATGTTTTTACAAAGTAAAGTGATGCAAGGAGGGAAGAGTATATGGAGAAAAAGAGAGAAGTTAAGACAGGGGTGAAGCAATGTAAAAAAGAGAGCAAATGATAGAGTGGGTGAGAGGTTATCACAAATTTTGTTGAAAATAAAAAAAGTTTTGGAGTGAGATTAGCAAGTTCAGAAAGCCTAGAGAACAAATGGATTTGACAGTTAAAAATAGGAGAGGAAGAGTTATTAAATGGAGAGTTTAGAGTTTGGAAGATGGAAGGAATATTTGGAGGAATGTAAATGTTGATGAAGATAGGGAAGCTGTGATTTTCCGCGTATAAGGGCGAAGGAGGAATAACATCTTGTAGAGTGAGGAAACCATTGTGAGTGTGGGGGAAGTTTTCGGTGAGGCAGTAGGTAAAAATGAAAGGGGTAAGGCAGCCGGGATTGATGGGATAAAGATAGAAATGTTAAAAGCAGGGGGGGATAAGTTTTGGAGGGGTTTGGTCTTTTTTTAATAAATGTATGGGGGGGAAGGTCCCTAGGGATTGGCAAGACATGAAGCCCCCTTTTAAAAAGGGGAAAGGGGAAAAAAGGATGAAAAATTAAGGGAAAAACTTGGGGAAACCGGAAAGTGTGGTGGGGTTTATATTGAAAAAATTTAAAGGGGAAAAAGAATTAGGTTTGCGGTGACAAGGATTTTTAGAGGGGGGGGTGTGGACAGGTGTTACATTGAACCTATAGTGACAGTTTTTAAAAAAAGAAGGGAGGTTTTTTTGCATTTTTGGATTTGAAAAGGATGAAGGTGGATAGGGGCAATGTGCGATTTTGCAATTATGGTAGGGGTAGTTATTTAAAGCGTAAAGATTTTTTAGAGGATGTGAGGCTCAGGGTTAGGGTTGAGAAAAGGGAAATTCCCCGGTAAAAGTGGGTTTAGAGGGGGATGTGTAAAGTCACCGGGTTGTTTAATATATTTTATAGAGGGGGTTGAAAGGGAAGTAAATGCGGGGTTTGGGGAGAGGGTGGGTTTAAATAAAGGGAATCAAAAAAAAGGGGAAATTGCACAGTCTTTTGCTGAGAAACTGTGCTTTGGGGAATTCAAAAAAAAAAATTGCAAGGTTTGGATGAGTTTGGGTTTGGGTGAAAGAGAAAGTAAAGTGAATAAAAAGGTGGTGATGGGGGTCAAAGTTTTAAAAAAAGAAAAATTGGGATATCAAATTGGGGGGGGGAGTATGGAAAAAAGTAAAGTTTTCAATATTGGGATTGACGTGCGGCGGAGGGGTTATAAGGGGTTTAATCATAGAATTGTGGGGAAAAAAAGGGGTGGGGGGGGTAATGGGGACAAAAAACTTTTTTGGGAGGCAAAAAAGGGAATGTAAAAAAAATATAGTTACCAACCTCTTATATGGGTGTGAGCTTGGGGGTAAAGGGCCCAGCAAGAGAGGGTGGAGGAGGAATGCCTGTCTAAGGGCAATGTGTGGTGTAAATATTATGCAAAAAATTCGGAGTGTGGAAATTAGGAGAAGGTGTGGAGTTAATAAAAGTATTAGTCAGAGGGCAGAGAGGGGTTGTTGAGGTGGTTTGGTCATTTAGAGAGAATGGATCACAGTAGAATGACATGGAAAGCATATAAATCTATAGGGGAAGGAGGCGGGGTAGGGGTCGTCCTCGAAAGGGTTGGAGAGAGGGGTAAAGGAGGTTTTGTGGGTAAGGGGCTTGGATTTCCAGCAAGCGTGCGTGAGCGTGTTAGATAGGAGTGAATGGAGACGAATGGTACTTGGGACCTGACGATCTGTTGGAGTGTGAGCAGGGTAATATTTAGTGAAGGGATTCAGGGAAACCGGTTATTTTCATATAGTCGGACTTGAGTCCTGGAAATGGGAAGTACAATGCCTGCACTTTAAAGGAGGGGTTTGGGATATTGGCAGTTTGGAGGGATATGTTGTGTATCTTTATATGTGTATGCTTCTAGACTGTTTGTATTCTGAGCACCTCTGCAAAAACAGTGATAATGTGCGAGTGTGGTGAAAGTGTTGAATGATGATGAAAGTATTTTCTTTTTATGGGGATTTTCTTTCTTTTTTGGGTCACCCTGCCTCGGTGGGAGACGGCCGACTTGTTGAAAAAAAAAAAAAAAAAAAATATATATATATATATATATATATTATTTTTTTTATTATCACACTGGCCGATTCCCACCAAGGCAGGGTGGCCCGAAAAAGAAAAACTCTCACCATCATTCACTCCATCACTGTCTTGCCAGAAGGGTGCTTTACACTACAGTTTTTAAACTGCAACATTAACACCCCTCCTTCAGAGTGCAGGCACTGTACTTCCCATCTCCAGGACTCAAGTCCGGCCTGCCGGTTTCCCTGAATCCCTTCATAAATGTTACTTTGCTCCACACTCCAACAGCACGTCAAGTATTAAAAACCATATATATATATATGTATGTATGTATGTATGTATGTATGTTAAATGATCAGTTATGGAAGGAGAAAAGAGAATATGAATGTGTAAATTCAAGAATTATGTGGATTAAAGTAAAGGTTGGATGCGAGAAGTGGTCATAATAAGCGTGTATGCACTGGAGAAGAGAGGAATGCAGAGGAGAGAGAGAGATTTTGGGAGATGTTAAGTGAATGTATGGAGCCTTGAACAAGTGAGAGAAAATTTGGGTGGTAGGGGACCTGAATGCTAAAGTAGGAGAAACTTTTAGAAGGGGTGTGGTAGGTAAGTTGGGGTGCCAGGTGTAAATGATAATGGGAGCCCTTTGATTGAACTTTGTATAGAAAGGGGTTTAGTTATAGGTAATACA